TTTTAATTATTTAGACATAAATCGCAAAAAAAAACACCTTCTGGAACTTTAAATTCTCTATTGTTGATACGAATACACATTACATGTAACCAATGGTTACATCTATCACAACATATCCATTCATCGTCTACTTGCCCAAATGTTCCGCATTCCAAACATTGGTTGGATACATTTTCTGAATGTTCCAAAAGATATGTCATTAGATATGCTCGGTAATTATTTATATCGAATTTTAAATCAATTGATTCATTATTTAATAAACAATGTGCAAAATAACAAAGATAAGTACCGCAATTGAAAGCGTCTTTTTGCTGTGGTATTGAATTTTGTACGTCAAGTATATCAAAGTGAATATTACTTTTGTTTAAAACTTGGCAATACAATTTTTCAAACTCATTTTTAACTTGTTTCGTAAATGCTTTACTTGTACAAGAGTCATAATGCTTTATATATTTGTTTTTTAAGTTTACTTCAAGTAAGCTCCAATGTTGTAAACCATTAAATTGTAAACTGTTAAGTGGAAGCAATAACGTTTTTTCTCGTTCGTTTAAAACTTGAATTAATTTCTTTCTTGCTTATTTATGCTTGTAAATGGAAGAAAAGCCCCCTGGCCTGTTTTGGTAGCGTTTTTCTTTCTTAAAGTATGCGTAAAAAATGTCAAACAATGCATTTACTTGGGGTATCACACTTTTTTCTTGCTTATTTATGCTTGTAAATGGAAGAAAAGCCCCCTGGCCTGTTTTGGTAGCTGAACTTGAGAATTTCTAAAATTTCACTTAATACACATTTTCTTGCTTGAAATATGTCAAACAATGCATTTACTTGGGGTATCACACTTTTTTCTTGCTTATTTATGCTTGTAAATGGAAGAAAAGCCTCCTGGCCTGTTTTGGTAGCTAAACCGAAGATATTAAAAATATTACTTGAATTTCACTTAAAACACATTTTCTTGCTTGAAATATGTCAAACAATGCCTATACTTGGGGTATCACACTTTTTTCTTGCTTATTTATGCTTGTAAATGAAAGAAAAGCCCCCTGGCCTGTTTTGGTAGCTGAACCGAAGATATTAAAAATATTACTTGAATTTCACTTAAAACACATTTTCTTTCTTGACAAATGTCGTACAATGCGTTTACTTGAGGTATCACACTTTTTTCTTGCTTATTTATGCTTGTAAATGGAAGAAAAGCCCCCTGGCCTGTTTTGGTAGCTGAACTTAAGAATTTCTAAAATTTCACTTAATACACATTTTCTTGCTTGAAATATGTCAAACAATGCCTATACTTGGGGTATCACACTTTTTTCTTGCTTATTTATGCTTGTAAATGGAAGAAAAGCCCCCTGGCCTGTTTTGGTAGCTGAACCGAAGATATTAAAAATATGACTTAAATTTCACTTAAATCACATTTTCTTTCTTAAAATTTGCTTAAAAAATGTCGCACAATGCGTTTACTTGAGGTATCACACTTTTTTCTTGCTTATTTATGCTTGTAAATGGAAGAAAAGCTCCTGGCCTGCTTTGGTAGATGAACATAACCTAAAATATTACTTGAATTTCCCTTAAAACACATTTTCTTTCTTAAAGTATGCTTAAAAAATGTCAAACAATGCATTTACTTGGGGTATCACACTTTTTTCTTGCTTATTTATGCTTGTAGATGGAAGAAAAGCCCCCTGGCCTGTTTTGGTAGCTGAACTTAAGAATTTCTAAAATTTCACTTAATACACATTTTCTTGCTTGAAATATGTCAAACAATGCCTATACTTGGGGTATCACACTTTTTTCTTGCTTATTTATGCTTGTAAATGGAAGAAAAGCCCCCTGGCCTGTTTTGGTAGCTGAACCGAAGATATTAAAAATATGACTTAAATTTCACTTAAATCACATTTTCTTTCTTAAAATTTGCTTAAAAAATGTCGCACAATGCGTTTACTTGAGGTATCACACTTTTTTCTTGCTTATTTATGCTTGTAAATGGAAGAAAAGCTCCTGGCCTGCTTTGGTAGATGAACATAACCTAAAATATTACTTGAATTTCCCTTAAAACACATTTTCTTTCTTAAAGTATGCTTAAAAAATGTCAAACAATGCATTTACTTGGGGTATCACACTTTTTTCTTGCTTATTTATGCTTGTAAATGAAAGAAAAGCCCCCTGGCCTGTTTTGGTAGCTGAACCGAAGATATTAAAAATATTACTTGAATTTCACTTAAAACACATTTTCTTTCTTGACAAATGTCGTACAATGCGTTTACTTGAGGTATCACACTTTTTTCTTGCTTATTTATGCTTGTAAATGGAAGAAAAGCCCCCTGGCCTGTTTTGGTAGCTGAACCGAAGATATTAAAAATATGACTTAAATTTCACTTAAATCACATTTTCTTTCTTAAAATTTGCTTAAAAAATGTCGCACAATGCGTTTACTTGAGGTATCACACTTTTTTCTTGCTTATTTATGCTTGTAAATGGAAGAAAAGCTCCTGGCCTGCTTTGGTAGATGAACATAACCTAAAATATTACTTGAATTTCCCTTAAAACACATTTTCTTTCTTAAAGTATGCTTAAAAAATGTCAAACAATGCATTTACTTGGGGTATCACACTTTTTTCTTGCTTATTTATGCTTGTAAATGGAAGAAAAGCCCCCTGGCCTGTTTTGGTAGCTGAACTTAAGAATTTCTAAAATTTCACTTAATACACATTTTCTTGCTTGAAATATGTCAAACAATGCCTATACTTGGGGTATCACACTTTTTTCTTGCTTATTTATGCTTGTAAATGGAAGAAAAGCCCCCTGGCCTGTTTTGGTAGCTGAACCGAAGATATTAAAAATATGACTTAAATTTCACTTAAATCACATTTTCTTTCTTTTCTTAAATCACATTTGCTTAAAAAATGTCGCACAATGCGTTTACTTGGGGTATCACACTTTTTTCTTGCTTATTTATGCTTGTAAATGGAAGAAAAGCTCCTGGCCTGCTTTGGTAGCTGAACCGAAGATATTAAAAATATTACTTGAATTTCACTTAAAACACATTTTCTTTCTTGACAAATGTCGTACAATGCGTTTACTTGAGGTATCACACTTTTTTCTTGCTTATTTATGCTTGTAAATGGAAGAAAAGCCCCCTGGCCTGTTTTGGTAGCTGAACTTAAGAATTTCTAAAATTTCACTTAATACACATTTTCTTGCTTGAAATATGTCAAACAATGCCTATACTTGGGGTATCACACTTTTTTCTTGCTTATTTATGCTTGTAAATGGAAGAAAAGCCCCCTGGCCTGTTTTGGTAGCTGAACCGAAGATATTAAAAATATGACTTAAATTTCACTTAAATCACATTTTCTTTCTTAAAATTTGCTTTAAAAATGTCGCACAATGCGTTTACTTGAGGTATCACACTTTTTTCTTGCTTATTTATGCTTGTAAATGGAAGAAAAGCTCCTGGCCTGCTTTGGTAGATGAACATAACCTAAAATATTACTTGAATTTCCCTTAAAACACATTTTCTTTCTTAAAGTATGCTTAAAAAATGTCAAACAATGCATTTACTTGGGGTATCACACTTTTTTCTTGCTTATTTATGCTTGTAAATGAAAGAAAAGCCCCCTGGCCTGTTTTGGTAGCTGAACCGAAGATATTAAAAATATTACTTGAATTTCACTTAAAACACATTTTCTTTCTTGACAAATGTCGTACAATGCGTTTACTTGAGGTATCACACTTTTTTCTTGCTTATTTATGCTTGTAAATGGAAGAAAAGCCCCCTGGCCTGTTTTGGTAGCTGAACTTAAGAATTTCTAAAATTTCACTTAATACACATTTTCTTGCTTGAAATATGTCAAACAATGCCTATACTTGGGGTATCACACTTTTTTCTTGCTTATTTATGCTTGTAAATGGAAGAAAAGCCTCCTGGCCTGTTTTGGTAGCTGAACCGAAGATATTAAAAATATGACTTAAATTTCACTTAAATCACATTTTCTTTCTTAAAATTTGCTTAAAAAATGTCGCACAATGCGTTTACTTGAGGTATCACACTTTTTTCTTGCTTATTTATGCTTGTAAATGGAAGAAAAGCTCCTGGCCTGCTTTGGTAGATGAACATAACCTAAAATATTACTTGAATTTCCCTTAAAACACATTTTCTTTCTTAAAGTATGCGTAAAAAATGTCAAACAATGCATTTACTTGGGGTATCACACTTTTTTCTTGCTTATTTATGCTAGTAAATGAAAGAAAAGCCCCCTGGCCTGTTTTGGTAGCTGAACCGAAGATATTAAAAATATTACTTGAATTTCACTTAAAACACATTTTCTTTCTTAAAATATGCTTGAAAAATGTCGCACAATGCGTTTATTTGAGGTATCACACTTTTTTCTTGCTTATTTATGCTTGTAAATGGAAGAAAAGCCCCCTGGCCTGTTTTGGTAGCTGAACCGAAGATATTAAAAATACTACTTGAATTTCACTTAAAACACATTTTCTTTCTTAAAATATGCTTGAAAAATGTCGCACAATGCGTTTACTTGGGGTATCACACTTTTTTCTTACTTATTTATGCTTGTAAATGATAGAAAAATCCCTTGGTCTGTTTTGGAGGTTAAACATTTGTTGTTACTGTTTTTCAGGATTAGTTGTGGTTTATTACCTAAATTATAACTATTGGGACGCCTTTTCCTGCTTAAAATATGTAAAACAATGCATAAACTTGCTTTATAACAAATCTTAACCTATTAAATTTGAAATAAAATGACATTTCAACTGCGCATGCGTGGTCGGTTTTGGTAGCTGGCCTGCTTTGGTAGCTAACATTACGCCAATGTTTATTATTGTGCTTGTTACTTACCAAAGATAAGGTACCTACGCTTTGTTTCGATTAAAATCTGTTCGTTTTTCTAATGTTTGGGATTATTATTGCCGGTATTTCTGTTATTTTACGTACCTACGGTGTTTTCAATTGATCACGTTATTTTAACCTAACTTTCAGGAATACAATGGGTAGTGTTGAAGTCGATATTTTCAATGGCTTTGAATACTCGAAAAAATACGACAGCTTAAAAGTACTACACGCACACGATCAAATCAAAGAACTGCAGTCCATATTGCGAGACAGGTAATATAACTTTAACATAACCTATATTTTGTTGTTTTTTTAATTTAATTTAATTCTTTTAGAAATACGTCCAGAAGCGATTTTAAGTTTTACGCAGACCGTCTCATTCGTTTAGTAATAGAGGAGAGTTTAAATCAACTACCATTTACTGATTGTAAAGTTGTTACTCCAACTGGGGCAACATATAATGGGTTGAAGTATAAATCGGGGAATTGTGGGGTTTCCATTGTTAGATCAGGGGAGTCCATGGAGCAAGGCCTTCGGGATTGTTGTAGAAGTATAAGGATAGGGAAAATATTGGTGGAGTCAGATGCTGAGACACATGAGGCTAGAGTCGTGTATGCCAGGTTTCCAGAAGATATATCCCAAAGACATGTAAGATATACTATGATTTGTATTAATATTATTAATATAATAATTTTATTTTAGGTCCTTTTAATGTACCCCATAATGTCTACAGGAAATACAGTTAGTAAAGCAGTGAATGTTTTAAAAGAACATGGCGTTAAAGAAGAATGTATTATTTTAAGTAACCTATTTTGTACCCCAGCAGCTGTACAAACAGTATTAGACTCCTATCCTAAGGTTTGTATATTATAAAGTAGTATTTTAAAAATACAATTTTTATTTTATTTTAGATGAAAATTTTGACATCTGAAGTTCATCCAGTGGCCCCAAATCATTTTGGTCAAAAATACTTTGGCACTGATTAAGACTGACTAAGATTATTAATTAATAATGTAAATATCCTGTAATTGAATTTTATCTAAGTGTTAATATTATTAAACTACAATGTATTTCTATTTATATTCTTTTTACATTAATTTAACTTTTATTATAATACACATAGGTATAATAATATAATAAGAACATTGTATTTGTTATTTTTATAATATTTATTGTTTATCGATTAAGCAAATAAAATTAATATTGTAAAACTATGGCGTATTATTTTACACGATAAGGTAAACAAACATATTTTGCATTCTTAAAAATAAAACAAAACGCAAAAGTGATAGGCAACTCAGCATGCAACAGTGTTTATGTATTAGTATACACACAGGGGCAGACCTTAATTCGTGTTTTATGGCTCATCAAAACATTTGCAAACTAATTTTAATGATGTTATAAATCGTTCTTATGCTTATTTTGCAAAGTAGTTGTTTGTATTCCCTAAATATTAATTGTTCCCCGCATATAATCGATACAAGTTGCGTGTTATGTTTGCAAATTAAGTAAAAGAATTGGTCAATATTTCAACTTTTATTCATAAGCTGACCCTGGCGTATTTTATTTTAGATTTGAATCTTTCTGCAGTGAAATATTTGCCATTAAGGTTTTATTTTTTTATAGGGAATTTAAAGATAAGGGGGTAAATAATTAGCTTGGATTTTCCAACAATTTTATTTAACAAATGTCAAATAATAAATAGAAAATAACTAAGTAGGTAAGTGTGCATCTAGCTGAAAAATTTCCCTCTATTTTCCATCAATAATCTGAAATAAAACATCAAATTAATTAATCATAAGGCATGCACAAGAAACTTATACTTAACAATAACTATTTAATATGAAATCGATAAATGTGTGACGCCAGTTTTAAATAACAATGGCAAAAAATGTACACCTGCGTAAGCGAAACTAATCTTTCCTCCACCATAACACCAAAAGAATCGAATTATAAACCATGCAAAAACCACCCTTCAACTAGTCATCCCTAATACACTACTTCCCCCTGTTGATAGTAATCGAAAACAATCACAGTCTATTTTTAATAAAAGCATGTCAATCAAGTTCTTGAATATATTTTTTAAATTATGATGCATGAATGATATGGATAAAATAGTTATAATTAGAGATGGACCGAAGGTTTTTGATGCCTAGGTTTTGAAAAAAATCTTCCCCAAAAGTAGAAGCGACGCGTTTTATTACACAAATTGTTTTAATTTTTTCACCATCTACGAGAAATCGTTACAATTTAAGATCGAAACGATGAGTCAAATTTTTACTTCAACTATATATAGTTTCTAAAGTCAAAAACAAGTAATGGATTTTGAAAAAGGAGAAAGAATAATGAAATAATTCAAAAATAATTTTGTTAAGCAAAATATAACGCAATTTTATATTATTATTATTAGGTATTATTTAAATTACACCACATAAGTGATGTAATTTAAATAATAATAATAATAATATAAAATTGCGTTGAAAAAATTAAAGAATGCAAAATGAAAGAATAAAGGAATGAAAGATTAAAAAAATGAAAGAATGAAAGAATGAAAGAATGAAAGAATGAAAGAATGAAAGAATGAAAGAATGAAAGAATGAAAGAATGAAAGAATGAAAGAATGAAAGAATGAAAGAATGAAAGAATGAAAGAATGAAAGAATGAAAGAATGAAAGAATGAAAGAATGAAAGAATGAAAGAATGAAAGAATGAAAGAATGAAAGAATGAAAGAATGAAAGAATGAAAGAATGAAAGAATGAAAGAATGAAAGAATGAAAGAATGAAAGAATGAAAGAATGAAAGAATGAAAGAATGAAAGAATGAAAGAATGAAAGAATGAAAGAATGAAAGAATGAAAGAATGAAAGAATGAAAGAATGAAAGAATGAAAGAATGAAAGAATGAAAGAATGAAAGAATGAAAGAATGAAAGAATGAAAGAATGAAAGAATGAAAGAATGAAAGAATGAAAGAATGAAAGAATGAAAGAATGAAAGAATGAAAGAATGAAAGAATGAAAGAATGAAAGAATGAAAGAATGAAAGAATGAAAGAATGAAAGAATGAAAGAATGAAAGAATGAAAGAATGAAAGAATGAAAGAATGAAAGAATGAAAGAATGAAAGAATGAAAGAATGAAAGAATGAAAGAATGAAAGAATGAAAGAATGAAAGAATGAAAGAATGAAAGAATGAAAGAATGAAAGAATGAAAGAATGAAAGAATGAAAGAATGAAAGAATGAAAGAATGAAAGAATGAAAGAATGAAAGAATGAAAGAATGAAAGAATGAAAGAATGAAAGAATGAAAGAATGAAAGAATGAAAGAATGAAAGAATGAAAGAATGAAAGAATGAAAGAATGAAAGAATGAAAGAATGAAAGAATGAAAGAATGAAAGAATGAAAGAATGAAAGAATGAAAGAATGAAAGAATGAAAGAATGAAAGAATGAAAGAATGAAAGAATGAAAGAATGAAAGAATGAAAGAATGAAAGAATGAAAGAATGAAAGAATGAAAGAATGAAAGAATGAAAGAATGAAAGAATGAAAGAATGAAAGAATGAAAGAATGAAAGAATGAAAGAATGAAAGAATGAAAGAATGAAAGAATGAAAGAATGAAAGAATGAAAGAATGAAAGAATGAAAGAATGAAAGAATAAAAGAATGAAAGAATGAAAGAATGAAAGAATAGAATAATAAAAGAATGAAAGAATAAAATAATGAAAGAATGAAAGAATGCAAAATGAAAGAATGAAGTAATGGATTTTCGAAAAGGAGAAAGAATAATGAAATAATTCAAAAATAATTTTGTTAAGAAAAATACAACGCAGTTTTATATTATTATTATTATTATTATTATTATTATTATTATTATTATTTAAATTACACCACATAAGTGATGTAATTTAAATAATAATAATAATAATATAAAATTGCGTTGGGTTGAAAAACCTGATGTTTATTGGAGCATTTCTGAGGCCAACTTTGACATTTTAAAATTTTAATATTTCAACCTAGTGTGAGAATTACTTTATTAAAGTAGTTTTTCAAACCTTATTCGACTTTTTTCTCAGGTTCTTGTAGTTTTTCTGTTTGTTTGAGAACCTTCTCAATATTTTCCTTCAATTTTGTATGTTCTAAAAGATCTAAATCGTCATGGGTTGGACCCTCCTCTTCAGGTTCTTCTTGAGGATGTTCGGCGTACAGAGCCTTGTAAATTTCTGCTCTGTTCTCCAAAATCTCCCTCACAATATCTAAAACCACAACAATATAAATTTGTTTAGCAAAACCTAATTTAAAAACCTGTTAATAGATCTCTGCTGCTGACAACTTCCTCCAGTTCATTCGTGACCTCCTTCATCAACCAAGGCATGAAGGAATCATCCACATCTTGTTTGATGGAGTCCATGAGGTATCCTTCAGACTCCAAGCCTTCCAACACTGAAGGCAGCAAGTTGGCCAGGTAGCCTTGCATCAAAACGGCGCCTGCTATTCTTTCCTCCATCTCTTTCTGTATCTTCAAACCTTCTTCGTGGTCTTTTAGACGTCGTTCCTTCTCTTTCAGCAACCTCTTTTCTCTCTCTTCAATTCTATAAAATATACGGTGAGATTAGTTGTTGGGAGAGTGTCAAAGTTACCTTTGAGCTTCAGCTGTTTCAGCAGCTCGTAGCTCCAAGAATCTTCTTTGTTGTTCTCGCAAAGCGGCCAGTTCTTCTTCTTCCAGAACTTCGATTAATGATTGCTCGATTGTTTTGCCCACCAAAACGTCCAAAATTGGTTGGACTTCCATATCGAAGTCAAAGAGCTGAATAAAAGCATTTACTAGTTTATATCGTAGTAACTGTGTGATATGGAATAAGAAAATCGTTTTGGGTTTTCGTTGATTCCGATAAAAAAATATAAACAAAATATTGAATTAACTGAACAGTTCTTGTCGATCTTCTCATTCCACATGATTAATGTATGCAAATGGAATATTTCCATCAAAACTAAAAATATCGGTAGTGATTCCTGTAGCAAAAATTGCAAACACCATCTTGTGTGATGAATTTAGACTTGCCAATAAGGTTTCATTATATGAAATTTGTTTAGAAGATATGGTAAAAAAACAATTAGTGGAATATTGTGAAAGTAATAAAAAAATTTGTAATAATTATTTGTTAATCAATCGGGTTTTAGAAAAGAACATTATAATAATAAATATAAGTGATGAATGGCAAAAACACAAGGACAAAAATCTATATGTATTGTCAGTTTTCTGGATTTCAAAAGGGCATTCAAAACAATTAATATTGATTTACTTATAATGAAATTAAACAAAATTGGTTTTACAGGAATGGCTTTAAATTGGTTCGAATCCTTTTTGAAAAAAAGAACGCAAAAATTTAAATTTAAAAATAAATTCTCTGAACAAAAAGAAACAAAAAATGGTGTTCCTCAAGGGACTAAATTGGCAGCTACTTTATTTATTATTTATATTATTTATATTAATGATATTATTATTATTATTATTATAAATATTAAAACATCTAAATATATAATAGTGAGTAAGTATGATCAGGTAAATAAATCAGACTTAAAAATAAATGGAAATAAAATTGATCTTGTTCAGGAAATTGAGTATTTGGGAGTTATAATTGATAATCGATTACATTTTTTAAGTCACTTTAAATATATTCAAACTAAAATTAATAAAAAAATATACTTTTTGAGAAGGATAGGCAGAGAATTGTGTTTTAAGGTAAAAATTACTTTGTATCAAGCAGTAATAGCCCCGCATATAGAATATTGTCCAACAATTCTTTTTGGCTTAAATAAAAATGAACATGAAACACTTCAAGTATTACAAAATAAAACAATGCGTATAATTCTACAGTGTAATAAATATACACCAATAGAATTAATGTTAAATGTACTTAATTTTATGACAGTTAAACAAAGAATAACATTTAAAACACTAATCTTTGTTTTTAAAATATTGTATATGACTCCCAGATACTCAACTGATACTTAACTGAAAAAACTAGGCACTGTACATAATTATCAAACAAGGCAAGTTAGAGATATTTAAGTAATTGGTTAAACCTACTTCAAACAAATATATACAGGGTGTCCGGGAAAAGGAGGTCAATCCGTTAACCATATATTCTTTGAGTTAAAACAATAAGACTTTCATAATACCATTTTTCAATTTAGAGCTTCATGTTCGATATACAGGGCGACAAAGTTTGAAATTTAAAACTGATTTTTTTTAATAATTCAACTAATTGATAAGATATTAAGTTTAAATTCGGTACACTACTTCGACATAAATAGTTACATTTTTTGAGACCAACAAAACAAAAAAAAATTGTCAAATAATCAAAATAGGGGGGTCCAGTACTCACTGACTCCCCCTATTTTTTAGTACGTGCGCCAATGACTTCCAAACGGTATTTTTTTAGATAATCATTTATTGTTGAAAATTTTTTGTCTCTTATAAAATTTTGATAAAATGATTTGTTTTAGAGATAATTTGTAAAGTATGGGTCAATCCATATAAAATTTTTGAAATTTAATTTTTTTTTGAAAAAATTTAGGTCATGTGGTATATCATAAAAAGGTCTCTAATAGGCCTTTAAAATAAGCCATCACTCACATTTCTACTTTTAATAGTTTACGAGATATCGCTATTTTTGTAAGTACTTGCAAAACCCAAATTTATCGAAATTTTCAAAAATCAATAAAACAAAAACCACCCATCGAAAAAAATTCATATATGGGATTTTTGAGTTTTTTAGTGAGGTAAACAAATTTACCAAAAATTATCAAAATCGGAGATGGTGGGGGAAGAACCTTTGGTTGATTTGATATGGACTGACCCATACTTTACAAATTATCTCTAAAACAAATCATTTTATCAAAATTTTATAAGAGACATATTTTTTTTAACAATAAATGATTACCTGAAAAAATACCGTTTGGAAGTCATTGGCGCACGTACTAAAAATAGGGGGAGTCAGTGAGTACTGGAACCCCCCAATTTTGATTATTTGGGAATTGTTTTTTGTTTTGTTAGTCTCAAAAAATGTAACTATTTATGTTGAAGTAGTGTACCGAATTTTAACTTAATATCTTATCAATTACTCGAATTATTAAAAAAAATCAGTTTTAAATTTCAAACTTTGTCGCCCTGTATATCGAACATGAAGCTCTAAATTGAAAAATGGTATTATGAAAGTCTTATTGTTTTAACTCAAAGAATATACGGTTAACGGATTGACTTCCTTTTCCCGGACACCCTGTATAATATAATAATATATAATATAATATAATCGTTATTTTTTAAAGGGTTCCAATTATATAGAGTCAAGCCACGTCAAGTGGGACCAGAAAATTTCACGAAATCACTGATTTTGAAAATAATCACATTAGTAGTAGGCATGACTTATATGTCACAGTAAAAAATTTGTTTTAAAATTCGTTTTTTTGGTAATGTTATTAAGGTTAACAATTTTGTCAAACTTTAGAGCCCGGTAAAGTTGAAAAAAATATAATCTTTGACCACTCTGTATAATTGAATTAAATTTTACACATTATTGTAGCAACGTTTAGACTATAGAATGATCATTTAATTAAGATAAATTTGTTTAAATAAAAGAATTTTGCATACATTTATTATATACAATTGAAATTTTGTATGTTCTTCACGCTGAAAAAAATTAATCTTGTGTCATAATATGCGGCAAACGTTCCTGTTTACTAAAATGTACTCAAAAATTTGTCTTTCACATGTCATTCCGGAGATATTAAATTTTTTGTCCCGCTGTGCGCTTGATCAGCACGCGGCGCACTTTGAGGCTAGCTCGTTAGCACACGGTGTGTCTGAATGAGGTTTAAGTAACATAAAAATTCCGCCAAAAACTGATTGCAGTTTCTGGTTCGGGACCCTTTGAAATCCTAGCTGCTCCTCTTTTCGAAATTTTTTGAAAATTTATGATTTTTTAAAATTTTTGAGATACCTAAATCCTTTTTGTGCATTATGCTTTTTACTATATAAAAAAGTGATATTTGGTAACCCTGTCTCGTTAACAATATACTCCAATAAAAATCGGTGTTTAAATGTGTACTCTGGCAAAGGTAGACTTTGCGATAAACAAATAATTAAAAAAAAATTATTTTTTTAAAAATTAAAAAAAAAGCAGTTAGAATTTTGGTAAATATCGTTTTTTAATCACCAAAGAGTTTTTCGTTCAAAATTGAAAACTACTAAAAAGCCTAAATTAAACAAAATTTTAAATATTTTCAAAGCGTTATTTTATTTAATTTTATTAAAAATCTATTTTTATTGTAAAAAGTTAATAAGAATGCCATTTTGTAACCTGATAAGAGAAATATCTAAAAAAAAATGGGAATCTTTTTTGCGTGTTATGCCAAAACCATGAATTTGCGCTTTTGCTTTATTTAAAATAAGTGATTTTTGGCTAACCCTGTATACATCCCGCACAGGGGGACAAAAATTTAATTTCTCCGGAATGAAATGTGAAAGACAAATTTTTGAGTACATCTTATTAAACCGAAACGTTTGCCGCATATTATGACTCAAGATGAATTTTTCTTCAGCGTGAAGAAAACATAAAAAATTTCAATTGTTTATAATAAATGTATGCAAAATTCTTTTATTTTAACAAATTTACCTTAATTAAATGATCATTCTATAGTCTAAACATTGCTACAATAGTGTGTAAAATTTAATTCAATTATACAGAGTGGTCCCAGAGATTCTATTTTTTCAATTTTACCGTGCTCCAAAGTTTTACAAAATTATTAACTTTAATAACATTAACAAAAAACCGAATTTCAAAACAATTTTTTTACTGTGACATATGCGTCATGCCTACTACACAATAATGTGATTATTTTCAAAATCGGTGATTTCGTGAAATTTTCTGGTCCCACTTGACGTGTCTTGACTCATAATAAACTTCCAATTAATATTAAATACTGTGATAACTTTAAAGTTTTAAAAAATTATTAAAATCTTATATAATTGAAAAATTGTGATGTATGCTGATTTTTTTGTGTAATTAATGAAGATATGAACAATATAATTTGTAGATGTCGTTTATAGCAGAGGCTAAATAAATATATTATTATTATTATTTCTTACATCTCCAGGGTAAATCTGGGTCTCGACATCGATCCCGCTCTTCATGGGGATATAGAAAGGCGATATGGGCCTGTCCAAGAACAGGTCGGTCTGGGTGCACATGTCCAGCACCGGGGGGTTCACCCAAAGCTCCTCCAGATACAGTTCGGTTTGCACGCGCTCGTGTTTTCTTCCGTGGATGGGTGGCGGCGAACCCACCCGCAGCATGGCGGCCCGCACCTGCTGGTTCTTGGCTTTTCGCCGGGCCATCGCCCGGCGGCGGGCTTCGGCCGCTCGGGCGGCGGCAGACTCTCCGTCACCCTAAAGGAAGAACAGTTTTGATAGAGATCCACGTCATACTTTAGGTGTAAAAGCCAAGATGTTATTGCTTTATTTGTGTCATGAAAAGAATCATTTTACACGTTTTATAATAATAGCACTATGAAATCAATGGTACAGCCCAAGTAGCACAACTGGTTAAATTAAAGTTAAATTTACGTTATCCCTGGTTAATTCATTTAAGTAGGGAGAGTAGGGTAATGACTCATTACCCTACTCTCCCTACTTAAATGAATTAATCAGGGATTTTAGGCAAAATGCATTTTTGTTTCTATTTTAGGCATTTGTTTGGGACCTTAAAATTAATCCTAAATTTAAAAAAATAAAGCGTTTGACACCCCTTTGTTTTTGCCTAAAAGCCTAAAATGGCGAAATTTTGATTTATTGTCCTAAAAGGACATTTTTATGATCCTAAAATAGGCTCTTTTAATTTTTCAGTACAAAATATATTTTTCATTGCGGAAAAGTAAATTATTCTTAATTAGACCCTGATTTCATTCTCTTATTTCGCCTAGACGCCCTTGGCGAGTACGAGGATTAGAGGAAGTGAGGGTATTTTGGAATAGTAGTTTAAAAAAAAATAGCAAAAAATTTAAATTTAAATTATTTCGATTAAAATAAATAATATGTCCAAGATCTACATTTGTACTATGCCATACGAAAATTTTAAACTATTTAAAATACTTTAAAAGGATTTTTTCACTAATGAAAAAAAAAGTGTAAAAAATCTCTGTTTACATAACATGAAGTTAATTTGGAATACCACCAATTTGGAATATTTTAAAGTAGCAGAAAATGTTTAATATTAAAAAGGTTAATAAAACATTTTAAAAAGGTAACCAAATATTAATTAAAAGAGAAAATTGGATTAATTATCAAATATTACAAAAAATGAATATAATTTGGAATATTTCAAATTTGCATTATTTATAGTATTCCAAATTAGCAATATAAAGACCTACGCCATAATATGTAAAAAAAAGTAAATGCTTTAAAATATCGAAAAAGTACAATTAACAACTAAAAATATAACCCTTTACTTACCTAAGGATACAATTTAAGTTAATTTAAAGATAAAAATCGAAGCTATAATTGCTGATTTAATTACCACTAAAAAAGTTTTAGTTACCCCACAATTAATTTTTCACATGTGTTGGCCCTCTACCATAAATCAAAATATCTACAAAATCACATGTCCACAAAATACAGGCTATTCTAGTAGTTTATTTCATATTTAACGAGATGGCGCTAAGCATAGCTTCAATATTTAAGTATTCCAAATTACCAACAGTATTCCGAATTACCCCCACTTCCTCTACAAATTACAAAACTAGTGAAAACCCAATAAAAAAGTAATTGTGTTTTTGCTATCTAAATATTTATTAAATTATAAATAATTATGGATAATATTAAGTTTGTAAAATAATAGTTGAAAATTATTATTTACTTTGTTTTCATAGGTTTTACTGTAATTTCCATAAAAGCCTTTAAGCCTTTAAGGGCTTTAAGGATATTTTCTCGAAAGAACCCCTAAACACGTAAACTGAGATAAAAGTTAAAGTATTTTTATTCAAAATTTTATAAAGATTGGTAAAGGCGTTTTAGAGTTGGATTTTTTTTACTTGTTATGCTTTAATTTTGACGCGCAGTATATATATATATATATATATATATATATATATATACAGGGTGTCCGGGAAAAGGAGGTCAATCCGTTAACCATATATTCCTTGAGTTAAAACAATAAGACTTTCATAATACCATTTTTCAATTTAGAGCTTCATGTTCGATATACAGGGCGACAAAGTTTGAAATTAAAAACTGATTTTTTTTAATAATTCGAGTAATTGATAAGATACTACTAAGTTTAAATTCGGTACACTACTTCAACATAAATAGTTACATTTTTTGAGACCAACAAAACAAAAAACAATTGTCAAATAATCAAAATAGGGGGGTCCAGTACTCACTGACTCCCCCTATTTTTTAGTACGTGCGCCAATGACTTCCAAACGGTATTTTTTCAGGTAATCATTTATTGTTAAAAAAAATTTGTCTTTTATAAAATTTTGATAAAATAATTTGTTTTAGAGATAATTTGTTAAGTATGGGTCAGTCCATATCAAATCAACCAAAGGTTCTTCCCCCACCATCTCCGATTTTGATCATTTTTGGTAAATTTGTTTACCTCACTAAAAAACTCAAAAATCCCATATATGAATTTTTTTCGATAGGTGGTTTTTGTTTTATTGATTTTTGAAAATCAAAAAATTCCGATAAATTTGGGTCTTGCAAGTACTTACAAAAATAGCGATATCTCGTAAACTATTAAAAGTAGAAAGGTGAGTGATTGCTTATTTTAAAGGCCTATTAGAGAACTTTTTTATGATATATCACATGACCTACATTTTTTCAAAAAAAAAATTAAATTTTGAAAATTTGAGATGGACTGACCCATACTTTACAAATTATCTCTAAAACAAATCATTTTATCAATATTTTATAAGAGACAAAACATTTTCAACAATAAATGATTACCTGAAAAAATTCCGTTTGGAAGTCATTGGCGCACGTACTAAAAAATAGGGGGAGTCAGTGAGTACTGGACCCCCCTATTTTGATTATTTGACAAATGTTTTTTGTTTTGTTGGTCTCAAAAAATGTAACTATTTATGTTGAAGTAGTGTAGCGAATTTAAACTTAGTATCTTATCAATTACTCGAATTATTAAAAAAAATCAGTTTTTAATTTCAAACATGAAGCTCTAAATTAAAAAATGGTATTATGAAAGTCTTATTGTTTTAACGCAAGGAATATATGGTTAACGGATTGACCTCCTTTTCCCGGACACCCTATATATATATACTTTATTTCATACCGCCTATTTTAGGAGGTTGAGGCCTATTTTAGTCACTTTCGACCTAAAACGGCCTAAAATGTAGGTTTTTATTGCCTATTTATGTATCCTAATTTGCAATTTTTAAGGGCCTAAAATCCGGTCTTTGGTAATGAGGACCCCCTAAGCAGTTTTGCTCATATTTTGGTTATTTTTCCGAAATAATTTAGGTTGTTGTTATTTTAGCTTTAACTAATTATTGATAAATTTATTTTATTTATAACAAAAGAAACACATTTTTATAAAAACAAAAGGTCCTCATTATCTGCCGCGTCGGTAAATGAGGACCCCAAAGTAAACCTGCTCTCTTTTTACAGAAATTGCATGTATATGCGGATTTTTTGCTTGCACCAGAGCATTTGGCATACGTCCACTCAAGAGTCTTGTATCTTGAGTCAAGTCACATTACACATCTGTATCATAACGTTGGCCCTGCTAGATGCAGGATCATCCTCGTTTACATTTGACGCTGCATCTGCTACAGCTTCTTTAGGTTCTTGTATAGTTTCAAGAGAAAAAGAAGTTATAACTTATAAAGCTATTGCTGAAGTAAAGTCTTCTTTATTTTTTTTACCTTGAGGCAATGAGGCAAATTATGTGTAAAAAAACTAAATCTTCATATAAATATCAAAAATATTACAAACGTATTATAAATGATGATTTTGATAAGGAGTATTAAATAATGATTTGAAAGCAAAAGATCAATTTTATGTATAAATATAACTGTTTAATAAGATCGAAACACCATGAATAATAAAAGAAGACGTACTATCGATAACAGACTTTAAATAACCTGCAGAGACTAAAGTCACCATTCTACAGATGGCTTCACTGTTATCTAAAACATATCGCCAACAATAGCCATAATAATACGGTGGGCCTGATTACCCGGTGGGCCCGATTACCCAACTCTCCCCCCTAACATTGTACTACAACGTTAAATTAACCTTAAATTAACGTTATTTTGTAATAAGTAAGGAATTCAATTATGGTAAAATTAACGTTATGTTAGTTAAATTTAACTTCTTGGTTAATGTACCTTTTGGCAGTGATGAGATGTATCGAGATACCTGTATCTAGATACATTTTATGTACCTAGATACGTATCGAGATACTTAATAAATCAATCTAATTTAGATTCTTTTGAAGGTCTCTAAATCCTTAGATACAAGATTTTATTTAACCCAACCTGATTGCAACCCCACACGGAACATATACATCATCTGGTAATTCATGCTATAGATATGAAACTCACGGTTTTTCAAGTAAATTTCCTACAGGGTGATATGTAAAACGGTAAAAAAATTAAATAACTTCATCCAAGCCCCGTTTGTAAAATAAATATTTTTTTCTCGTTTTTACTTTGAAATAATGGTATTCTGCCTTACCTTGAAACGTTTTTCAAATTTTTCAAATTAGAATCTTAGCAACAAAAATATGAGTACATTTGATGCTTTTTTGTAGGCAATACACTAAGCCTTTTGAACAAGAAGATAAGATGGTGAAAGATTGTTCCTTGAATAATTCTGAACAAACTTCCATTATTTTCAGAGGAACCTAAGCAAAGACCACTTTTTCAAAATGACATTTTAGTGAAAATTTGCGAAAACTAAACATGAACCGATATTTACGTTCATGACACGTTTTCTTCATAATTTTGACCTGATTGTGATTCAGTTGTCAAATTTAAGTTTCAGATAAAACCATAATCCCCTAGAATAAAATTCGAATACAATTCCTGGCTGTTAAATCTCTCAATAAAATCCGATTGCTGGTTTTTACTGCTTTTTTTACTGTGTTTTGCATCTTTAGTACGTTATTATCATGTCGCTGAATGATCAAATCAACGATCAAATGATGAAAATTAGTTCTTGAAAAACATTCAAAACGCATTATGATTGATATTCTTGTTTTTTCCAGTTTTTTTGTGTTTTTCCAAATTTCGAAGTTTTTTTTTGCAAGTTATACCTACCTACCTACATACCTAAGCACATCTTACCCAGGTTACTTCCATTCTTCCTTTAAATGATTGAAATGCCAATGCCAGACTTCGCTGCAGCTACGGGACTTCACGTCTCCAAATCAACGGTTCGCAGAAGATTGCGCGAAACGGGAGGCAAGGGTGGCTTTTGGACGTGGAGGAGTGACTATTTGGGGTGGAATGGCGATGAATGAAAATAGTGAATTGGTAATGAATGATGAAAGATATAGAGATTTGTGTGTTGGTGATATTGTGGTCCCTTATGCTTAAATGCCTGACGAGTGTATTGCCTACCAATTTTCGTTGCTAAGATTCCGATTCGAAAAATTTGAAAACATTTTTAAGGTAAGACAGAATACTTCATTATTTCAAAGTAAAAACGAGAAAAAATATTTTTTTTACAAACGGGGATTGGATGAAGTTGTTGAATTTTTTTACCGTTTTACATATCATCCTGTAGGAAATTTACTTGAAGAACCTTGAGCTTCATATCTATAGCATAAATTGCCAAAGGATGGGGCTAGTAGACATTACAGGCCGAAATAAAATAGTTCAGGAAACAAAAAAGTTATGTCGTTTTGAAAAAGGAAATTTTGTTTATTTATAGTCAATTTAAACTCTTGAAATAACCTTAATTTATCTATAGGTAAATTTAGGTTATTTCAAGAGTTTAAGGGCCGGTTTTTCAATCGTTAACCAACGATTGAAAAACCGGCCCTTAATTAACTATAATTAAACCAAATATTTAACTAGTTTGTAATATTACCAAAAAGCTTCTTTTATTAGTTAAATTAAACTAAAAACATGACCTTTAAATTTACCTTAAGGTTATAGCAACCGGTTGGTAAATTTAAAGGGATATTTTTTAGTTCATAGGAACCTTAAACAATGTTAATAATTGAAAACAACTTATTGGATAAAACACAAGTTTAACAAAACATTATTTTACTTAGATTTTGATTAATTTACTTAGAATGCTAGTTAGGTATTTATACATTTGTACTACTTGGAAAGTTGGACTAAGCCCTTTAAAAAGCAATATCATTTTAGACAACTAATTTGCTAAGAACGAGGCATTTACTATTAAAAAATCTACTTACTAAACACAATCTAAATGATTTGCTAACATTTATGTTATTTTTATATTGTAAATAAAGCAAAAAAGGCAAAGGATTTTAAAGGAAAGGGATTTTAAGGTACGTACCTCGTCTCTAGATAGGAGTTTAGCATATGCAAAATGTGGATTCCATTTTGGCTGCATTTTATTAACAACAATTCTAATATAAGTGTTTATTAAAATGACTAAGTTAATATAAACTATGTACTGTGCAAATTTTCAAAATCAATACTTTTATTAGCCAATTACGGTGCATCTATATTATTTATAAAATTCGACATTTAGGATTATTTGGGTTAATTTAAATACATAAGTACATATTTTTATCTGGCACATATATCACTCTTTTGTTAATGTTATTATTAAATTATTCTTTATACCTTATAGGATACAATGTTTAGCCGAAATAATCCTTTTACAAAGTTCTTTTGTACCGGAAATACCATCTTCATTTTATCGATTGTGCCAGTTTTGATACTTGAGGTATAGACAAATAAAAATAACTCACCATATGTTCACAGCTCTGTGGTGCAAAATTACTCCCGCGAAACACGCGTTTTTCAAACATAAGATTAGCATAAGGAAGCGGCACATCTCTGAAAAATAAAGTTCTTGTCAAAAAAATTTGAAAAAGCTATTTTCTATATACATTTTTAGTAATATCATGTGATTTTTATAATACTATAATAATAATAATAATTACTTGATACTTCTTTCAGGATAAGGTTACCAGAAAACAAGGTTAAAATGAAATACTTCAACAATTTATCATCAATAATTGTTAATTTAAAAATAAGTATGGACATTTTTCTCCTTCAAAACCTCATCATAATTTATGAGCAAAATTTATTTTTAAATGTTTTACTTTTGTTTATTGAAATAAATCGAATCGAACATAACCTCGAAACGACAAGTTTTTTTGTGTTTTTGTTAAAATTCAATTGTGGTTTATTTTGCGTTGGGTTGTAGAAATTATAATGACGAGAATAAAGAGCTTGTACTAGCAATTCAAAGGTAACATAACCCAGGTAAAAATAACATTTTTGAAATAAGATAATTATTTATTTATTTTATTTGGTATCTGTTAAACCAGTTTTTATATAAACAAATATATTAATTCAGAATTAACTCATTTATAATTCCGTCCAGTTTTCAACTGTTCAATGTTATGATTAAGCTGCCTCTCTTTCTTTGTCTAAGAAGCAGACAAAAAATGGCGCATCTGTCATTCCACAGCTAATACATTTACCAAGTTGAAAATTCGTTTATCTTATAAAAGTTGCCAAGTTGCATCGTTAGATCCTTGCTGTACTATCTTTAAAAGTTTTTAACATTTTTTGAAAACTTAACTATTTTTGAAAATCTTTTAAAAATGTCATTTGAAATATTTAAACCTTATGAATCATTGTAAATATTAAACATTATTTGTAAATCTTTAGAAGTTTTCTTTATTCGAAATTTTACACATTTGATTATGTTGGTACTGCCTATATCAATTCAATTTGGTAATTTTAGTATTTAAAATTGTTACTGTTTAATGCCTTTTTTTACTTTTATCGTTTATCTTATAAAAGTTGCCAAGTTGCATCGTTAGATCCTTGCTGTACTATCTTTAAAAGTTTTTAACATTTTTTGAAAACTTAACTATTTTTGAAAATCTTTTAAAAATGTATTTTGAAATATTTAAACCTTATGAATCATTATAAATATTAAACATTATTTGTAAATCTTGAGAAGTTTTTTTTATTCGAAATTTTACACATTTGATTATGTTGGTACTGCCTATATCAATTCAATTTGGTAATTTTAGTATTTAAAATTGGTACTGTTTAATGCCTTTTTTTATTTGATATTTATTATTTAATTGGTGGAATAATAAATAAACAATAGCAAAGATAAGTGAAAATTCTAAACGAAAATAAACTTTAAAAACAAAACAGCATTTTGTTGAAATTATTAATTTGTCCTGCATAAATCCACTAAATTATTTTGTAGCCGATTATTAATTCAGAGTCCCATGTAATTTTCTAACTAAAGCAAATTCCAAATTAAAAAAACTGTAAAGAATACAACTCGGAATACAATAATTGTACCTACAAATTATTTGTATAGATTACTCCCGGTGCATTCGCCATTTTTGTAAATACAATAAATCCACTAAAATCTCAACAAACCTCGAGATCGATCTTTCATGATGTTTTAAGGTGTTTATTGAGGTCACAATCGAAAATGAAAGTCAAAATTTTAATCTTATTAGAATGTTAATGGGGTATAATAGAGAGGTATTTGTTAAGTTTGAATATCAAAATATATATCAAGCAGTCGTGGCCGAGCGGTTAAGGCGTCTGACTAGAAATCAGATTCCCTCTGGGAGCGTAGGTTCGAATCCTACCGACTGCGAATATTTTTTAATTTAAATTTTTAAAATATTTTTAAGGACATTTTAAAGATTTTTAAATAGTAATAAAGATTTTTTTAAATATTTTCAAGCTTTTTTAAAGAATAAAATAACATTATTATGATAGGAAGTATACTTTCTTTTCATAAACTATAAAATTAATGAAATTTTTAACAATTTAAAAAAAAACTTTTATTGCTATAGTTATACAGGGTATAGCAAAAGTAACAATTTAATTACTTTGATTTTTGAAGCAGTAAATAATATTTCCTGAAATCCTTTTTCGAATACCAAATTTAAACTTTAAATAATATTTCTTGTAACTTTAATTCAATTAAAGGTAATTTAGTTATATAAATAACCATTGTAAAAAAATTATAAATATACACTTTGTGAAAAAATCCGCAAAATGCCTGCATTTAATAAATCTTCATTAACCTTTTTATATGGTCTATTTAAATAAAAATCAATAAATCACCTATTTACCTAAGTAATCCCATTACTAGTAACACTAAACCAGAAAATTGCCAGCAGGAAAAAAATAATCACTTTAAATCTGCGGGCCATTCATTGCCCTCCAACATTAACTTAACTACGAGTAGCTTTTGCTATGAAAGATTTATTAAAAAAACAAAAGACTAATTCAGATGTGGCGTGTCCGATGTAATTTTTTTTCAAGCATCAGCCTTGGCATTGGTGGTGATTTGGTACAAAACAAATAAATTATTGAAGCTGACTTAATTACGTCAACCCATGAAATGGCAATTTACTGAAAATGCAAGAAAAAATTACATTGTCTATTTTTTATATTTATTCTAAAAAAATGCAATAAACATGTTTTTTTACTTCATAATGTTAATTTGTACTTTTTCTGTCAAATTATTAATTCTTTGTTATAATTTCAAAATCAGTACCTGCACATTTTTATGACACTAAAGCCTTGAATATACAAGGAAATAACACGAAATTTCCTATTGACATGAAAATTATACCTTAATGTTTAAAATACACGCAAATTATCAGGCTTTTTAACCAAAATATATCTTTTAAAATTAGAGCTGCATTTAAAGAATCGTTAACATAATGAAAAAACGTTTATGTAATATAAAAACTAAGCCTTATAATTTATATATACGCCATATTAGCAATTATTTTTAATCACGATAATTGAACAACAAGTCGGATTTACCATGTTATGTTTTATATGGTAATTTACATTAGTAGGGTGTAGGATATAAATTAAATAATCTTTAATTTACAAATATACTGCATTTTAAATGCAATGGTGTGTTCGTGCAACCCAGTTTTTATGGTTAATCCTGGAAAATATAGGGCACCGCAATCATTGTAGGTAATCACTCTTGTTTGTTGATCATCATTTATTATTTATTTGTTTTGTTTAACGAAGACTAATCAAATCAGAGATTTTTTTACAAGGTCATAGAGTAAGTTTTAAAACTTGCTTCTAATAATAATAAAGCTGAAAGCTGATTCTCTTCAGTCTGATCACACTTGGCGAGAAAATTAAATTTTTTTGCTTGCCAATAACTTTTCTATACGGGAATTGTAATGCCAGCTTATCGAAAAAACGGTTTTTCCATAGAGCTAAATAATAATACACAAAAAACACTATACATTTTTACAAAATATAAGTCCTACTATGTCAGTTTTTGATAGTACATTTTTAAGAATTTATACACTGCGCGTCAAAATTAACGCATAACAAGTAAAAATATCCAACTCTAAAACGTCTTTACCAATCTTTGTATAAAAATACTTCAACTTTTATCTCAGTTTATTTGTTCAAGGGTTTTTCGAGAAAATATCCTTAAAGCCCTTTTATTTAATAATAAAAAATGCTCGAAAAAAAACTTTTAGAGAGAAATTTATTTTTAAGTAAATAAAAAATATGTTGTGTAGGACCGAATTTTTGTTAGTAAACCTTGAAAAAAAAACGAACAGTAACGAAAATACAGAGCTTCAAAGTCGTCAAAAAGACCACTTTTCAGCAAAATAATAAAAAATGGGGTCATTTTTACCAACTGAAGCGCTGTATCTTCGTTACTGTTCGTTTGATTTGTACAAAAATTTCAGGGTATACTAACGAAAATTCGGTTTTTTATCAGCATATTTTTTATTTACTTAAAAAAATTCCCTTAAAGTTATTTTTCGAACGTTTTTTTAATTATTAAATAAAAGAGCTTTAAAAATATTTTCTCGAAAAACCCTTGAACAGGTAAACTGAGATATAAGTTGAAGTATTTTTATACAAAATTTCATAAAGATTGGTAAAGGCGTTTTAGAGTTAGAATTTTTTTTACTTATTATGCGTTAATTTTGAACCCCTTAAAACGATTCTACACTAAAATTTATTGAAATTTTTAAGATAGGAACGATTTTTTAGCTAAATTAAAAATGAAGAATAATTACTTTTCACACAGAAATGTCACTTTTCATTTGTGTTTTGCCTTGCCAATGAAAAGATTCATTTTCTAAGCAACAATGCCGAAACGAAATGTGACTTTTACATGGTGGTCGTAGAAAAAATACATTTTTGTAAAAACTTAAATAATTGTTCATTTTTAATTTGGTTACAAAATCATTCCTAGTTAAAAAATTTCAATAAAATTTTGTATAGGATCGTTTTGAAGGGTGGTGAATACAGTTCGGTGCATAAATTTAAAAAAAAAATGGCTTATATAAATTCTTAAAAATTTACTTTCAAAAACTCATATAGTAGGCCTGGTATTTTGTATTATGACGTTTTTATATTGTATATGAAATTCGGTTAAAAATGTACAATAAATAAAGATTTTACAGGGGTGAGTCGCAAACAAATGGGTCACACTGTATACTGACAATATATAAGTTTCGCCATGTTTCAGGCATTTTTTCTCACTTTAGTCACTAAATATATAAAAAAATTTAGTATGCCTTAAAAAATAAAAAAAACTATAAATTTTATATATTTTGGTCTAAAAACACCCTTAAACTTTTTAGTGTTATGGGGGTGAATAATTCAAATAAGATGGTTTTTGGGATTTTTGAAAATCCCTTTTTTAAAAGTAACAGGCTTAAACTGTGAACAGAGCCTTTTCCCTAAAAAAAATGTTTTAGGAAACTAAATATTTTTTTTTATCTGAAAAAACTTGTGGTGACTTTTCTAGTAAAAACTCACATAATTCCGTTTCAGCGCAAAAAAAATACATGAGTTAAAGTGGGACACCCCGTTTTTTAAAATAAGGATCTTGGATTGTTCAGGTTTACCTTTTTATAAGAAACTTATTTATACATACATGTATAACTTGATTTAACCTTTATTTTCCATCATACAAATTAAGTAAATAAAAATTAAACTATTAGATAATATTTCCCATTGAATATGTGAGCTGGGTCTTGAAAAAAATGCGAAAAACACCATTATATTTAGAAAAGGAGTTTTTGGTAGTTTACGTAGAGAAGAAAAAAAATGAAAGATAGAAGATTAAAGATGAAGGATGGAAGATAAAAATTGGAAGATGGAAGACGTACTCTTACTGAAAGGTTCTTATTTTCTATTTTAGGAAAATAAAAATAGGCGCGACGCTGGCTTCAGCCAATATAATTAATTAATTTAAGAACAATTATTCGTTTCTTATTCAAACATGGCAAAACGTAAGGGTATCTACCCCTTGAACTTGTTTCAGTTGAATTATCATTAAATATAAATTCTATACACACAGACAAATGTTAAAAATCGATTTTATAAAAATGGATTGGAAATTTAGAAACATATTTTTTTCTAAAAGATTTAAATCAAAATAATTGTTACTTATGTTAGAAAGATAAAATAAGTCACCATTAAATTTACTTACTTAAAATCTTTACCAAATATAAAGTCATTTTCGTCTTCAACCCTCTTCACTCCTATCACAGCCCCTGTTACTTTTGCTGCCGCTTTCGCAGCTGCATCACATCTCGACTGGTGCACAATTTTCTGCGAGTTTCTGTTCAAAACGCGCGGCTTACTATAGTACGCGTACAACTTTTTAGTGTCCTCTTTTCTAACTTGCTCTTCAATTCGTAAGCCTATCAAGTTGGCTATTTCCGGCGGTGGTTCCAAAAATTGACCTGTTTTCACTGTAGTCACAAAAGGTTTCTTGCAAATGTCACTGTTGCTTTTTTTGGGGGACTTTTCGTCTTTCTGCAGCTTTCGTAGCTTGTAGTCCAAGGTTTTCGTAAATTTTGCATCCAAATTATCCAGTTTATTTTTTAAAGCACTGTTAGTATTATTATTGTTTAGACTACCCTGTGAAAAACTGAACTTCCCAAAATTTACTATATCCTGATTGTTTATAAAACCATTTGATTTCGCGAAACCTTTATGTCTATTGACTTCCAAGTTACTATCAATTCTTCTAGTGGGGTGCACTATTACGTTAGGTTTGTTTTTGTGAATATCCGTTCCAAAGGGTTTTAGTATCGCCTCTCTTATATTTATTGGCAAGTTGTCCTGGTTGAGAACTTTGAAAGCGCAATCTTCCTCAATGTCCTCCGATGACATTGAGCCGTGCACAATGGGCGCCATTACATCCACCATTTTATATTTTAGTTTAGAGATGGTTTGATTTTAAATTTTATGGAGTACTTCATTATTAATATTATTAAAAATCTAAGGAAAATTGTATTGTATTTATAAAGAACTTAGAACAAGAATTTTGAATAAAAAACAGTATTTAAATGGAATTCAAATAAACTCAGAGAAGAAAGTCAAAAGGAGTTAAATTGCAACTTCTCTGTGGCCAAACACAGCCATGGCGGCTATTTATATTAAAATTTTTAATTTATACACTGTTTTTTAATTCGTTCTTATTGGGACATTTTACAGGAATATAAAATATTTATTATGATTTTATAAAACTAATGTTATATTATTTAATAAAATAAGTAATAAATTATTGTAACAGTTGGAATTTAATGTCAGTCACGAAACAAAATTATATGAATGGAAATGCAGTTACAAAAAAGTCATTCATGGGGTTTTAATGGTAAATTAAATATTTACATGAGTAATCAATGATTTAAATACGGAAAATTACACTATTATTGATTTTTATTTAATTCGCTTTTCTTAATATTAATCGTACATAAAAATATACCTATATAATATACCTATACGAAGTGTGTTCAGAAAATATCGGGAATTATTAAATTTCGCGGCTTCGGAGGGTCCGGTTGTCATAAAATTTTATTTATTATGTTGGTATACATGCCCCTGAGGTATGATAAAAACTTTAACTGTTTTCATTGTTTACTTTGTCTGTGGAAGCCGCTAAGGTTAGACGTGTTTTATGAGCTCGGCGATTTTTGTTCCTTAAAAGAAATGGACTTTGATCCATTTGTATACAATTTTGCTTAAAAAATGAAATAAATTCTGTGAAATATTAATATTAAAGGCCTATAGTGAGTCGGCTATAAGTAAAACAAGAGTTTACAAGTGGTATAAGAGTTTCCAAGATGGCCGTGAAGACGTTGAAGATGACGAACGCCTCGAACGCACAAGCACATTAACAACCGATAAAAACATGGAAAAAGTGGAAGAAATGGTTATAAACCATCAGAGAAGTCGCTGATTATGTTGGTATATCGATTGGCTCATCAAATGAAATTTTTTCAAATGTTTTGGGTATGAAACGCGTGACAGCAAAATTTGTTCCAAAATTGTTAAATTTTGAACAACATTTTTGGCCAAAAACAATACTCTAATGATGCCCCAGCCTCCATATTCGCTAGACATGCCTCTGTCTGACTTTTTCCTATTCCCAAAAATAAAAAAACCTTAAAGGGCCGTCGTTTTGCAAGCATAGATGACATTAAAAGCGTATCGCTGAAAGAACTAAAGGCTATCTCAAAGATCGAGTTTTAGAAGTGTTTCGAGTATTGGAAGAAGAGCTGGCACATGTGCATAATATTCAATGGGGACTATTTTGAAGGCGACAACATTAATGTAGACGAATAAATAAATATTTTTTTCAAAAAACGAAAATTCCCGATATTTTCTGAACACACCTCGTATATATATATAGGGAGTTCCAGATTCTGGGACCTAGAAGTCAGGCACCACCTTAGAGATGAATGATCTACGGCCCCCTGGAAAACCTAAAATATGTTAAATAAATCTACCTTTGTTATTTAAAAAGATACAGGGGATATATAATTTTTTAAAAGGCAACATTTTAAAAATCGAAATTTCTTCATTGAAAATGGGCTAACAACCGTTTAAATTGTCATACTTGGGGGGGGATAGTACACGCCAAAACAAGAAAGTTTTTCCTATTTTATTTTTGAATTAGAGATACTGTTTTTTAATAAAAAATAGGAGTTTTTTTGACAAAACCAGGGAGCCACTGGATGTCACTGACCTATCCTATATAACATCATTGTTTTTACCTCTAAAAATAATGATATTATTCATCCAAGCAAAAAACTGATATGCGCACAGTGTATTATTTAATATCAAGGTACTTTGTTATCATTGAATAGGTACTGAGTTCGGTTGTTATTGTGGTTTCTCTGGGGCTATATAAACAGTTTAGTGTACCAGTTGACACATTAGAAGAACTCCGCGAATTTGTGTGGATATTAACGGTGGGATAGAACATTTTACAATTTTGTGGAACACTTAAAAAATAGCTACATGAGCATCAATCGATGTAAAAAGTGAAAGGCGAAATTTATAATCGACGGAAAACCACGAAAACTTCGAGATAGGTACCTAATAATAAAAAATAAGTATTGTTTTATTCAAAGTACCTAAAAATAGCTGAGTATGCAAAACAAAAACAATTATCAATAAAGTAATAACACAAATGTAAATTTATAATGAATATAAATTGTGAACCATTTGTTTGCGACTCACTCTTGTAAAATCTTAATTTATTTTGCGATTTTAACCGGATTTGTTTTAAAGTATATATCTTGATAAACTGTATTTTAGGAGCAAAAGACGCCATATTATTACAAAATACAAGGCCTACTATGTCAGTTTTTAAGAGTAAATTTTTAATAATTAATATTAGCGATTTTTTTAAACAAAATCTAAGCACGGCACTGGATTCACCACCCCTTAAAACGACCCTTTACTAAATTTTATTGATAAATTTTGAGTAAAAAAAATGCACAATAATATCTATAAAAATTTATTCTGTAAAGTTAACCATGAAAAAAAATTAAACTTATAGTAATAGTACCATGTAACTATTAGTTTAATTTTATTTCATGTTTTTTTCATGGATAACTTGACAAAATAAATTTTTGTAGAAATTTTGGTGTATTTTTCTTCTTAAAATTTAGTAATAAATAAAGATTTTACAGGGGTGAGTCGCAAACAAATGGGTCACACTGTAGATTATTGCCCACTGTGCAAGCATATTTTGCGACAGTTGTTATAGGTCAGGAACAACCAGTGGTGGCCCAAAATTTCTACTTTACTTTATTAATTTTAATGTTTTTTTTATTAAAAAAAGGCACTAATGCAAAAATAATAGAGAAAAAACTTTCTTAGTTTGGCGTGTACTATCATTCCCTTAAAGGATAACAACTTATTTGGTGAGGTAGTGGTGGGTAGGTATTGTACCCGAAATTATTAATACCTTACCGGTGAAATCAAAAGATGGGGGTTAAGAAACCATTCAATAATTTTGTATTGAGATAATAAAATAATTTTCACATTTTAGCACTATTTAACTAGAAGGGCACTTTATTTTGACGATTCTATGACTTTGACAACAGTTACTGAAAACTCGCATGCATCGCTCGTGCCTTATTAAAACTCGTGACTAAAATGCCGTTATCAAACTTGTTACATAAAACACTATTAATATTTTTATTTATGACGCATCCAGTGTGCCAAGTTATTATTTAATGCTTACATTTTAATTTAATTTGGTTGGAACGCTTCTAAAGAATGATTTAATTCTATTTTTGTTTAAGAAAGAACGGACAATGTGTTTGAAATTAAAAATAAATGTGGCAGTGTAATTACAATGTTTTTTGACCTTTTTAACCCCTTTATCCACGGCATCCTTTATATTCGTTTTAAAAATGAAATTTTACAGGTCTAATACTCTAATATACATATTACTAAAATATTACCTATAGGTAATATACGGTATACAAAGGATAAATAAACATAAATAATTCAGAAATAGGTAAATTTTTATATAATTTCAAATTTTTTAACTGGTTTCAATATGCTTATGATGTTATAACATCATAAAATATTAACCATAGGATATATTTTTAGTAACTATTAAAATAATTAAAGCTATCGATTTATTTGAAAAGAATAAGAAACGTGTGTTCTGCTATCGACTGACGTTAAATTACAATCATAAAAGATAATTTAATGCACACCTTAATTTAAGTACCTCAAAACCCTATTATAGGTTATATGTATACATAGGTAAACCTACAATTCACTTCTATATAATTATTATGCTATAACTACATACTAGTACAGTCTTAATGCATATGTAATTTAATTGTTACTTGCTGTTTTCTTGATAAAATATTTAACACATAATTAATGCAGAAATACTGCGGCAATACACACGTTTTTATGTGGCGTCGCGACGCGGGTGCTCGTAAGGTGATCGGACGTCGATGACTGACCGCTGTCCGGTAGCACCGCGACCACCGTGGCTATGAAATAAAATAATAACCCGCGCATGGCAATCATTACAAATAACACTAGTTTACAAATTAATGAAAAAGACATGTACATTCAATGCACTAGGTAAAAGTCCAAAAATAAACAAAAAGTTGCATTTGCATTTAAAAAACTTAATTGATTGGGCATTAAGAGAATGTTAGTGGTCGGCGATGTTTAGTTTGATACCTTTTGCAAGCAGGTAGGCCGAGATTTGTCCCAAATTATAAGATGCATTAATATAAATCAATTAATACCAAAGTTATAAAATTTCCAAGTTTGATTTTAAACAATACATGTGTTTTCACATTAAAAACTTTTTTGGTGCACTGTTATAAAAATTTGTTAATTTTGAAGGTTACAGATTATTTTCTTATTGTTTAACAAATTATTTCGTTGAAAAAGTACACGTGATTTCAGGCAGTCAATCACAATATTTTCCACTGAAAATACGCATCAACAAGTTCAACTGACTTCAGCGTCTGCAACTTATGTTTCTGCTTACTTTATTCTAATTCGTAACCTGTTCGTAACAATTGTCCAGAGTTTTTATAATATATTACCAGAAATCTGTTATTATTGTTTTTCGGATTCCTTATAACTATTTAACGAGTGTGCGAAGTGCGAAGTATCCAAAAAAAGATGCCATCACTGGTTTTCAAACTGAAATTAGGGGATACAGTGAAGTGGGTTAAAGTTACGAAACACAACATCAGTAAGTGTTGTAGTAGTACTGATAATTATATTTTACCAGTTTCTTTATAGTTTGATTATTTCAGAATGTGTTATTTAATTGTGCACACATATACATGCATGTACATGTGTATGTTATTTTTGGGTTCATTTATGTAGGTATGTGTTAATTTTTTTCTTTAGGAAATTGATTAATAAAGCAACATTCTTATCAAAATTATTTTTATTTAAGTTCCCAATTTCTAATAAATACTTTTGTCAGTGGGTCTACAAAAAGGTTTGTAAAAAAAAGGCCCTTTTTAAAAATTATTGCCCTTTTTGAAAATTATTGCTATATGGGTGATTCTACAAAAGTTGGACAATTTGATGTCAT